AAACACAACAGCTGCCAGCAAATAGAAGAACTGACTAGTTTTAATGTTACTTTGATATAAAAGACACGCCAAGAAAGATAAGAGGAGATTCACGAAGCTCAGATAAACTGAATGTATGAATTTGGGGGGGGGGGTGCAAAGGGGTCCCCTTTCTTCACGCTGTTTTGTGTGGCTTCTGCTAAACACAGAGATAAGTGAGGGTTCCCAGTCTCTTTGGGGAATCTTTAGACCAGGTCTCCTTAACCTTAAATCTACGGGTAGAATTCAGGGGGATCTATGCGCTTGCTTTTGTGTATTTATTCCCAAATCTCTAAGTAAAATGTAACATTCCCTTCAGTTGTGAACATAGACCATAAACCAAAGGATTATTAGCAGAACTTGTGATTTAGTTTCCCTTAAGAATTTTTTTAAATAAAAAAAGTACTGTTATTAGACTGTTATACCCAACATTTCCAAGTCTTCATCATTATACTGACATTCTGGCAGTCGTCAGCACTTGTAGTTTCGTGAATATGTTGTGCAAGATATACATGACCACATCATAAATTTAATTTTTAAAAAACATTTTGATTCTTTTTAACATTCTTGGTCTCTTCTGCATTGTTTTCTTTCTTTTTTTCTTTTTTTTTTTGCAGTTTTTGGACAGGGCTGGGTTTGAACCTGCCACCTCTGGTATATGGGGCCCGCATCCTACTTCTTGAGCCACAGGTGCTGCCCATCTCCATTGTTTTCTACTTTAACTTACAGATTTAAAAACATTATTTTGGGAAGGATGCACAGGCTTCATTTGACTCTCAAAGGGGTCTGTGGTGAGAAGCTCTCATCAGATCTATAATGTAACATCTTCTCCTTTTTTGTCTATTTCACACATATTCTTATGAGATTTCAAAATAACTTTTTATTTTTAATTGTTATGGGTATATAATAGTTGCATATGTATATTTGTAGGGGACATGCAATGTTTTGATGTAGGCGTACCATGTGTAACCATCAAATAAAGGTGACTGGGAATACCTATCACCTCAAACATTTATCATTTCTTTGTGTTAGGAACACTCTGATTTCACTTTTTTAGCTATGTGAAAATACACAATAACTTATCGTTGACTATAGTCACCTGTTGTAATGTCAAGTACTAGATCTTGTTCATTCTGTCTAACTATATTTTTGTACCCCTTAACAAGGCCCACTTCCTTCCCTGCTCTCCACCTTCCTCCTCAGCCTCCACTAGCCATCAGTCCACTCCCTCTCCATGAAATCAACTGTTTTAATTTTTAGTCCCTATATATGAGTGAGAACATGCAAAATGTGTCTTTCTGTGCTTGGATTTTTTTCACTTAACATGATGTTCTCCAGTTCCATCTATGTTGCTGGAAATGACAAGATTCATTCTATTTATTGCTGAATAATATTCCATTATCTATGTGTATTATCTTTATACATGCATCTGCTAATGGACCCTTAAGATTGATTCTAAATCTTGACTATTATACATAGTGCCACCATAAACATCTTTTCTAGATACTTATGTCCTTTCTTTTGTATAAGTACGTAGCAGTGGGATTGCTGGTAGTGCTAGGTTTAGCTTTTTGAGGATACTCCGTACTGTTCCCCACGGTGACAGTCTAATTTACATTCCCACCAACAGTGCACGAGGGTCCCCTTTCTTCATCACATCCTTTATGGGCTGTGATTTGGATAAAAGCTATTTCAACAGGGGACAGATGTGTTTTCTCTACCTCTGGGTAGAATTCAACTACAGATGGCAAGTAGGCATTCCAGGGATTTGCCCAAGGATGAATTCATTGGTATGTTTTCTTTTGAGACTTGTCTGTGTGCCATCTGTAATTGAACTCTACCCAGTACTCTAAGATAGTTAGTAGTTCTGGTTTGCATTTCTCTGACGGTTAATGACGTTGAACATTTTTTTTTCCATGTACCTGTTGGCCATTCAGT